CCCAACAGATCCTCCCACCTCAGCATCCTGAGTAGCTAGGACTAGAGGTGGTGCCACCACATCCAGCTAATTTTTAAATTTTTTTGTAGAGAAGGGGTCTTGCTATATTGCCCAGGCTGGTCTTCAATTCCTGGCCTCAAGTCCCACCTCAGCCTCCCAAAGTGCTGGTCTTACAGGTGTGAGCCACCATACTTGGCCTGCATGTCTAATTTTAAGTTTACTGGTAACCATATTAAAAACAGTAGAAAGAAACAGGTACAGTTAATTTTAATAATAAATTTTGTTTAACCCCTAATATGCAAAATATTATTTCATCATTTAATCAACATAAAATTGAGATATTTCATATTCCTTTTTTGTATTAAGTCTTTGAAATCTAGTGTGTATTTTATACTCAAAGTACATCTTAACTTGGACTAGCCACATTTCAAGTGCCCAACAGCCACTGTGACTGGTGGCTACCATATTGGATAGGGGCTCTATAGACTGAGAACATAACTGCAGTACAACAACTGTGACTAATAAAATGTGGTATATATATATACCATGGAGTTCTACTCAGCCACAAAAACAATGGTGATATAGCACCTCTTGTATTATCCTGGATGGAACTGGAGCCCATTCTACTAAGTGAAGTTTCACAAGAATGGAAAAACAAGCGCCACATGTACTCACCATTAAATTGGTAAATGTTCTTTAATTTATATGTGTTTTATAAAATCATAGCTAGTGCCTTATTACTTGATTTGATTTAGAAAATGGTTTGTTAATCTAGGATTATAGATGAATAAATTAACCTTTTTGGACCAGAAGCAGTAATCATTGACATTATTTAAAATACCTGAGTTGGAAAAATATGAGAATATGCAGATCACAAGGACTCACTGGTTTCTAAGCAAAATTAATAAAGAATGATCACTGCAGAAACAATTGTTTTTGATTTGCAGAGATAATGAAACTATTAGCATCCTCTCAGGGAGCAGGAAAAAAGTTAGCTTAAGGAATAAAAGTCAGACTGGCTTTAGTTTGAATGCTATTAATAGAGCACAATAGAGCAATATCAAAAGACTATTGAGCAAGATGTCAAATATACAAACCCAGACTTGCAAGGGTTCAGTAAATACACCATCAGTGTCTTGTTCAAAAAATTATTCCAGCCACTGAAAAATTGGTGGTGAATACTGAAATAAGTTAAAGGCGTTATGTCTGAATAATTGTTTTACTTCATAAACAAAATAATTTTAAAAATAAATGTAAAGTTTGAGTCTGTAATCCCAAATTATATCAGTCTGTCAGTCCTACTAGAGCTTTGCATGGTAGAAGGAGGATGAAGGCCTGTTGGCCTTCTTTAGAGTAAATATTTAAATTCTTTACTGAAAGATCATACATCTCTGAACAGATTGGAATAGAGGTTGAAATTGTTAATTTGTTCCTTGTACAGCACAAAGACTTGCTTTCAGATTTAAGCCTCCCTTTTTCCATACCTTTTCTCTTTTCCTCCTCAATTCTCTCTCCTACCATGGCAATCCACTGCTTTTCCTCCAGCAGTCCTTTCTAGTCACCTAGTCAGTTCTATCCTAACCGCTTCTTGGTTCTTATAAATTGAGCTGCCAGAGATTCAAGATTCCATACACTGTCATTTCTTCATAAGGAGGGGAAAGGGATGATCCCCTAGGACCTTGAATTAAGACAGGATTAGATGGCTCCATTACCAGTTTACAGATGCGTATTTATAAAAATTTAATATGATATCAGTGACATATCAGTAGGGATAGAATGATTGTTCAATAAATAGCGCTGGCAGGTATATACATGTGTCAAAACTCATCAAATTGTACACTTTAAATATTACACTTTGTTGGCAATTATAACTCAATAAAGCTATGAAAGTAGCACTCACGATTGATAACTTATTATTAGAAGAAAAATGCCTTCCCTGTACCAAAATATACATCAGAGAATAACTAAATATAATAAATGAAACTATAAAACAATTATGAGAAACAACAAAAATTTATGTGATTTTGGTGTGGGAAAGAACTTTCTAAGCATAAAACCAAAGAGGGGGAATGACAAAAAAGACAGATTTTTGTACACACACATATGTCATTTTACGTATTTGGGATTATATCGTACTAGTTCCTTCTCCCTCAACCTTCCCCCACGTTAGCTAGCAGCCCAATACCCCTTCCAACCCTACCAGATAAGTCAAAAATCCTACAAATGTTCTTCCAAAATATATATTATTTCTAAAATCATATGTATTAACACATACATACACAGATAAGCATAAGGTATTTATTTTCTGGTCTTGATTTTACAAAAATTAGGATTATCTTAGTGTTTTGTTTTTTTTTTTTTTTGCATTTTGTTTTCTTAGTTCACTATAGGAAAATTCCATCAGTTTTCTGGCATAGCTCTGATTCCTTCATCTTAATGGCCATGTAATAGCCAATTTTTGAATTGCAGTTTATTCAGCTATTCCAAATTAATGGGCATTCACTTTGTTTTCAGTTCTTAATCACTGCAAATTATACTGCAATTACCGTCCTTGTACATACTCCATAGGAATTGGTCTTTTTGTTTCTATGGAATAAATGCTTAGGAGTATGATTGCTACTCATGAAAATTGAAGAGCTTTGTTTTATTTTACTTGTAATAAATGATCTCGAACTGTTTTTCCAAAAAAGGCTATATCCTTCAGATTTCTATCAGCCACGTATGAGTATCCCTTTCCTAGTGTCCTTGCCAGTAATAGGTGTTATAGCTCATTGTACTTTTTACCATTTTACTTTTTTTTTTTAAACTTCCTATTCGCTAAAAATCAAAGTCAGCCGGAGATGAGCACCTAGGGTCTTCTCCTTTCTTTCCTGAGTCTTTCTTAGGCATTCACACAGCCTTGCACACGTGTGCAGCTCTGTAGATCCTCAGGAATATATCTGGTTTTCCAAGATTAAATTCCTGCTCAAGCTCTATTTGTCTCAACTGAAACTGCAGCCTTAGACGACTATACCGTTGCCAGCGGATTGTAATTATTTCTGGAATGCCCTGGGAGCAGGGATTTTTGTCTCCCTTATTTGAGGTCTGTGTCAAATGAAATAGCAGCAATACTTTGGGAACAGAGTTTTCCAGGGAGCTGCAAGTTAAGATAAAATATTTGATTGTGCTCCGGGAAAAGTAGTTTTAACAGAGCTCTAAAAATTAACTTCAGTCCTCCCTGTTGGCTGTTGCCACTGCGTTTTCATGGCTACTTTGATACTGGGCTGCAGGGTGAGAGAATATGTCACAGTCCCCAGTTCCTTTTCCCCTTCCCCCATTTTACTGAAGTTCAGTAGTTTCTATTGGGTAGATGATCTTCATCTTGTTTTGTGGCTTTGGTTAATGTCAGAGTTCTGTAATGGTTAACTTTAGTTGTTAGGCTAGTATTTTCATAACTTTACTGAGGTCCTCACTCTATTGTTTGGGAAGCTGATCTCCTTTGGTAGTTTCCTTATCTATTTATGGGCAGTTAGTCCACCATTAGAACTTTAAGGTCATTTTGTCCAAGTTCAAGAAAAGCTGTTGAGAGTCTAACTACATTAAATTTACATATTAATTTTTGGAAGAATTGGTGTTTTAGGATTTCATGTTTCCTTAACTGGAAACATCATACGACTGATAGACTTGATTATTTAAATGTGTACTTCTGTATAGTTTTTAAAAATTTGTAAGAATTCAAGGACAGGTGACAGTAGGGAAAGTCTTTGTAACATACATGATGACACAATGTTAATGAGCTTTGAATATAAAATTCAGTTTTGAGCAAGAGAAGATAAATAACATAGAAGCATTGGCAAGGGACAACAAATCATTTTTAAAAGAAGAAAAACACATAACCAGTTAGGGATCAAAACAATACAAATTAAAATGTTACTATTTTCATTTAGCAAATCAAAAAAAAAAAAAAAAACGTTGTTGGGGAAAGGTGTGCTTACACTGCTGGTAAAAGTATAAATTTGCACAGTCTTTCCAGAATGCAGTTTTACCCTGATATACTTTTTATAGGAATTTATCCTAAGAAAATAGCCATTAATTTATTCACTCATTAAATTCAGTGCCCACTACATGCCAAACAATGTTTGTCACCAGAGATGTAACAACAGAAAACATGCACACTAAAAAATTTGCTTTCTTAGAATTTACATTGCTTTCAGTTAAGCAAACAACAAACAAACAAGTAAAATATAAAGTATACTAGAATGTGATAAGTGTTATTGAGAAAAAATAAAGCTGTGATAGAGGATAAAAAGTATTGGGATGGGGGCATGTTCAGTGATTTGTCAGGAGAAATATAATAATGTTTAGAGTGATTAATCTCTAAAAAAGGGAAAATGAGTATTTTATTTTCTTTATATTTTTTGAGTTTTCTATAGTTTCTCCAATGAACATGTAGAAATAGATAACTGAAATCAACAGAGATTTTTGAAATAATCAAAATTTTTTGACAAAATAAGTCTTTGACACATTTTATAGAGATTGGTGTATTTTAGGAATCTTTTGGACATTACAATGGATGAATTTTACTTTAGGAGAATAAATATAAATGAACTTATTAATATAGGGTTTAATTTTACAGCCTGTCACACTTGGGTGAAAATGTGATATAAATTTATTTTTCTCAAATCTTGCTATTTTAAAACTAGAACTCACTTAGCAAATTGAAATTCTGTTTTGCTTATCTGTAAATAAGAACATTGGAAAGACTATGAGTTTCCTCTACCGAAATTTTATCACATAAATGTTACTAAGTTATTCATTTTATTTGCTTTTCTGTACTGAATTTCAATGAGAAAACTTTGCTTGATCATTTACAAAAATCTCATTTTGTATTAAATACTTCTTTAAAGTCACTTTAAAATGTTTCATGGTGGATTTCATTATATTCACTTTCATTTATAAATTATGTAAGAATTTAGAGTAACTTAGAATTTTAGAATTTAATGCAGGAAAATATATTTTAGGAAAGCAGTTAAAGGATGGGAAGAAGCCAGAACCATGCAAACCTATCCTCAAGGTGGAATTCAAAACGACTAGATCTGGGTAAGATTTTACTTCATTGTATATAATTAATTGAATAGCATGGAAGGCTATTTTATTGTTGATTTTAAATGCCTACTTTAGAATGATCTAGCCCAGTCTTAAATTTTATGCTTTTTTTATCTAACGGAAGAAAGAAAATTGGTAAATTCAGAATAAAATATTTCTTTGTGTTTTTTCTATCTTTAGTAGTTTTACTATATGTCTTGGAAAGTTTGCATTATCTTTCCTGTCAAACTTCATATATTCTTTAGATTAGTCTTCAGTAACAATA